TATTTCAATTTTTTAGTAGTAGCAGGTCCACCCGTACGCCATCAGACAATCAAAATTTGGTAAAAACGAAAATAAAAATTTATTTCTTCCAAATTTAATAATACTAATCATCTAAAAATTACCAGAGTACAAGTAGGGACTGAGCCTTACGCAATCCTGAATAATAGAGAATTTTATTTCAATTTTTTAGTAGTAGCAGGTCCACCCGTACGCCATCAGACAATCAAAATTTGGTAAAAACGAAAATAAAAATTTATTTCTTCCAAATTTAATAATTCTAATCATCTGAAAATTACCAGAGTTCTAGTAGGGACTGAGCCCTATGCAATCCTGAATAATAGAGAATTTTATTTCAATTTTTTAGTAGTAGCAGGTCCACCCGTACGCCATCAGACAATCAAAATTTTGTAAAAACGAAAATAAAATTTTATTTCTTTCAAATTTATTAATTCTAATCATCTGAAAATTACCAGAGTCCAAGTAGGGACTGAGCCCTATGCAATCCTGAATAATAGAGAATTTTATTTCAATTTTTTAGTAGTAGCAGGTCCACCCGTACGCCATCAGACAATCAAAATTTTGTAAAAACGAAAATAGAAATTCATTTCTTCCAAATTTAATGATTCTAATCATCTAAAAATTACCAGAGTACAAGTAGGGACTGAGCCCTACGCAATCCTAAATAATAGAGAATTTTATTTCAATTTTTTAGTAGTAGCAGGTCCACCCGTACGCCATCAGACAATCAAAATTTTGTAAAAACGAAAATAGAAATTCATTTCTTCCAAATTTAATAATTCTAATCATCTAAAAATTACCAGAGTACAAGTAGGGACTGAGCCCTACGCAATCCTAAATAATAGAGAATTTTATTTAATTTTTTTAGTAGTAGCAGGTCCACCCGTACGCCATCAGACAATCAAAATTTTGTAAAAACGAAAATAGAAATTCATTTCTTCCAAATTTAATAATTCTAATCATCTAAAAATTACCAGAGTACAAGTAGGGACTGAGCCCTACGCAATCCTGAATAATAGAGAATTTTATTTCAATTTTTTAGTAGTAGCAGGTCCACCCGTACGCCATCAGACAATCAAGATTTGGTAAAAACGAAAATAAAAATTTATTTCTTCCAAATTTAATAATTCTAATTATCTAAAAATTACCAGAGTTCTACTAGGGACTGAGCTTTACGCAATCCTGAATGATAGAGAATTTTATTTCAATTTTTTAGTAGTAGCAGGTCCACCCGTACGCCATCAGACAATCAAGATTTGGTAAAAACGAAAATAAAAATTTATTTCTTCCAAATTTAATAATTCTAATCATCTGAAAATTACCAGAGTTCTAGTAGGGACTGAGCCCTACGCAATCCTAAATAATAGAGAATTTTATTTCAATTTTTAAGTAGTAGCAGGTCCACCCGTACGCCATCAGACAATCAAAATTTGGTAAAAACGAAAATAAAAATTTATTTCTTCCAAATTTAATAATTCTAATCATCTGAAAATTACCAGAGTTCTAGTAGGGACTGAGTCCTACGCAATCCTCGATAATAGAGAATTTTATTTCAATTTTTTAGTAGTAGCAGGTCCACCCGTACGCCATCAGACAATCAAAATTTTGTAAAAACGAAAATAAAATTTTATTTCTTTCAAATTTATTAATTCTAATCATCTGAAAATTACCAGAGTCCAAGTAGGGACTGAGCCCTATGCAATCCTGAATAATAGAGAATTTTATTTCAATTTTTTAGTAGTAGCAGGTCCACCCGTACGCCATCAGACAATCAAAATTTGGTAAAAACGAAAATAAAAATTAATTTCTTCCGAATTTAATAATTCTAATCATCTGAAAATTACCAGAGTTCTAGTAGGGACTGAGCCCTACGCAATCCTAAATAATAGAGAATTTTATTTGAATTTTTAAGTAGTAGCACCACCACCCGAATGCTATCAGACAATTGAAATTTGTTAAAAACGAAAATAAAAATTTATTTCTTCTAAATTTAATAATTCTAATCATCTGAAAATTACCAGAGGTCTAGTAGGGACTGAGCCCTACGCAATCCTCAATAATAGAGAATTTTATTTCAATTTTTTAGTAGTAGCAGGTCCACCCGTACGCCATCAGACAATCAAAATTTGGTAAAAACGAAAATAAAAATTTATTTCTTCCAAATTTAATAATTCTAATCATCTAAAAATTACCAGAGTTCTAGTAGGGACTGAGCCCTACGCAATCCTAAATAATAGAGAATTTTATTTCAATTTTTAAGTAGTAGCACCACCACCCGAATGCTATCAGACAATTGAAATTTGTTAAAAACGAAAATAAAAATTAATTTCTTCCGAATTTAATAATTCTAATCATGTGAAAATTACCAGAGTTCTAGTAGGGACTGAGCCCTACGCAATCCTCAATAATAGAGTATTTTATTTCAATTTTTTAGTAGTAGCACCACCACCCGAATGCTATCAGACAATTGAAATTTGTTAAAAACGAAAATAAAAATTTATTTCTTCTAAATTTAATAATTCTAATCATCTGAAAATTACCAGAGTTCTAGTAGGGACTGAGCCCTACGCAATCCTAAATAATAGAGAATTTTATTTCAATTTTTAAGTAGTAGCACCACCACCCGAATGCTATCAGACAATTGAAATTTGTTAAAAACGAAAATAAAAATTAATTTCTTCCGAATTTAATAATTCTAATCATCTGAAAATTACCAGAGTTCTAGTAGGGACTGAGCCCTATGCAATCCTAAGTAATAGAGAATTTTATTTCAATTTTTAAGTAGTAGCACCACCACCCGAATGCTATCAGACAATTGAAATTTGTTAAAAACGAAAATAAAAATTTATTTCTTCTAAATTTAATAATTCTAATCATCTGAAAATTACCAGAGTTCTAGTAGGGACTGAGCCCTATGCAATCCTGAATAATAGAGAATTTTATTTCAATTTTTTAGTAGTAGCAGGTCCACCCGTACGCCATCAGACAATCAAAATTTGGTAAAAACGAAAATAAAAATTAATTTCTTCCGAATTTAATAATTCTAATCATCTGAAAATTACCAGAGTTCTAGTAGGGACTGAGCCCTATGCAATCCTAAATAATAGAGAATTTTATGTCAATTTTTAAGTAGTAGCACCACCACCCGAATGCTATCAGACAATTGAAATTTCTTAAAAACGAAAATAAAAATTTATTTCTTCTAAATTTAATAATTCTAATCATGTGAAAATTACCAGAGTTCTAGTAGGGACTGAGCCCTATGCAATCCTAAATAATAGAGAATTTTATTTGAATTTTTAAGTAGTAGCACCACCACCCGAATGCTATCAGACAATTGAAATTTCTTAAAAACGAAAATAAAAATTTATTTCTTCTAAATTTAATAATTCTAATCATCTGAAAATTACCAGAGTTCTAGTAGGGACTGAGCCCTACGCAATCCTAAATAATAGAGAATTTTATTTCAATTTTTAAGTAGTAGCACCACCACCCGAATGCTATCAGACAATTGAAATTTGTTAAAAACGAAAATAAAAATTTATTTCTTCCAAATTTTACAATTCTAATCATCTGAAAATTACCAGAGTTCTAGTAGGGACTGAGCCCTACGCAATCCTAAATAATAGAGAATTTTATTTCAATTTTTTAGTAGTAGCACCACCACCCGTATGCCATCAGACAATCAAAATTTGGTAAAAACAAAAGTAAAAATTTATTTCTTCTAAATTTAATAATTCTAATCATCTGAAAATTACCAGAGTTCTAGTAGGGACTGAGCCCTACGCAATCCTAAATAATAGAGAATTTTATTTCAATTTTTAAGTAGTAGCACCCCCACCCGTACGCCATCAGACAATCAAAATTTGGTAAAAACGAAAATAAAAATTAATTTCTTCTAAATTTAACAATTCTAATCATCTGAAAATTACTGAATTTCTTGTTAAGAATTCATTTATTTTTACAATTTTCGAAATTTTTCTCCAGAAATACAATTTTGTTTAAACAAAGTATTTAAACAGAAAAAAAATATTTGAATTTAAAAAATATAAAAAACAGACTTACAAGTTGTAAAGAATAATATTATTTTTAAATATTACTTTCTAATTTTGTGTTGAAATATTTTTTCTCAAAATTCATTTTGTGCAATTCTTCTCATTTTATTATTTGTTTTGTTTGTTGTCAATTGCATTAGAAAAAAATTTTTAATTTCCAGGAAAGAGCAAAAACAAAGCAGACGTTTAATTATTAACTATTTTTACACTTTAATGGAAATGAAATGAAATATAAGGTTGGACAGTTATTGCTGTATATATAACTTGTTTCAGAATATTGTGAACTGTAACTGTTTTAAGTGTTTTAGAGGTACGTCTTCAGTGGAGAAACACGAGAACAATTGCAATGAAAGACAAAAGGATTTTCGTATAAGTTTGACCTCTCAGAGGGGTCACAAATGTGCCATTGTGGACTTCCTCTAATTACTTAATTACAACCAAGTAATTAAAACTATTTTTCCTCATGTTTTATTGTATAAAATATATTAATAATATTAGTACTAAAAAGAATAATAAAATAATAATAATAATAATAAAAATAATGTTAGTAATAATGATAATAATAATGATAAATTCTTTAACAATTTTAGAGAATAAATAATAAAAATATAAATTTATAAAATTTCATTTACCATATTTGCAATTTTTCGCTTTACACATTAAGTGATGTAAATATTTGAATAATTAAAAAACAATATTTGCTTATAATTAATTATAAATTTTTTTTTCCATTTTAAAATGATTTGCTTTCATTTCTCTTTTTATTCTCTCAAATATTCGCTCTTGCTTTACTATGCATGCATTTATAATTAATATATTCCCTTTTAAAACCAAGAAAGAAAATTCTCAAAAAAAAATGTAACTAAAATATTTCAAATACTTCAGTTTTGATATAATTCATTTTATTAAGTAATTAAATGTTTCTAGGGGCAACCTAATAGAAGAAATGGTATTTGTGACGAGGACGTGATGGAGGTAAATTTGGATTTTTCACTTTACTTAAAAATAATGTATAATAAAATGAAAGTAGGTAATATTAATTTTTAATTAACATTAAATTTTCAAATTAAAATCTTTTATTGAGATGTCAGTTAATCCGTTAGTAATCTACTTTTGTCGTATTGAAAATTTTTTGTTAAAAATTTTTCTCCAGCATAATATATATTACAAAGATTGAGGTTTTTAATTTTATATTTAAATCCGCTTAGTTTTGATAAAATATTGAATTAATTTTGATAAAATATTTATCATCTTTTTTTTTATATCAATATTTAAGTTGATTTTTATTTCAGATAAAAAGTGGAAATAAGAGTTTAAAATTGTGTGGATGGAACAGTGGTCAGCATAGTAAGTAATCTTTTGATAGAATTTAATTTGGAAAAATTTTAACTCGAATTGCGCCCGCATAATTACGGGAGGGGGAAGCACTCTGACCCCCCACTACTCCCCACTCTACGCCCATAAGGATGTTTTCACAAATGTATTTTTTTTTAATTTTCCCGAAATTATTTTAATTAGTTAATTTTTTAGTTAATTTTTAATTAGTTATTTTTTTTTTATTAATGAATATTTTAGTTAATCTTTTAGTTAATTTTTTAGTTAATTTTTAAGTTAATTTTTTAGTTAATTAATTAGTTAATTAATTAGTTAATTTTTATTTTTATTAGTTAGTGGTACTAAATTTAAATTAATTATCTAATTAAAGGTAAAATTTCTTTTTTTAAATTGAAATTCTGATTAAATTGTCAACGAGAGAATCGTGAGGGAAGAAAAAATTGATAAAAGTAGGAAAATTACCGTGTTCGTAATAGACAAATACGATTGTACCCAGGAGAGTAATTTTCCTTTATCCTTTTTCGTCTAACAAGATTGTCACTGCAGCATAACTAGTTAGGAAGCTTTAGCAACTGCTTTGATCTTTTGCACGAAACTACACGTCAAATTTCTAGATCCATGCGGACATAGACACGATTTACTTTTCTCCAAACAAGTTCCGACTCCAATTCACAAACCGAAAACTCACTCGACTATTTATACACACATTTGTGTAAAAAAATTTAAGTCCTCTATGAAAAAACAGGAAATATTTCAATATATATTTATCTTCTAAATGCAATTTTTTAAAATCCATCATATTTTTCGTGACAGAATTTTTTTTCTTATTATTTTTATTAAGAAACCACTTAGTCTTGACATTTTTTAAACTAGAATTTAAAAATTTCACTTCTCATAGAGAAAAAAATTAAATCACAAATAGGATTTGTTTTCTAAAAATGAAAAAACAATTTTTTTTTTAATTTTTCAAAATTTTGAAAACTGGTACTTGGTACATTTACTTATATAAGTGAATAATAAATTGTGTTTCTAAATATTAAATTAATGGCGCAATGAATTTTCTCTTTAGAATGAGAATAAAAAATGAGATGAAAGTGTATGCAAATAGTGGATGTAACAAATGAAAGAGTTTTTTTCTATTTTTTTCCTGTTATTTTTTTTTTTGCAAAAAAACTGCAATGAAATGCAGGAAGCAACTAATCACGAAAGTAAGAAAACCGTAAAGGCAGGTAATAAAGGGACGAGCGTTGCGAAGAGAGAGTAATATCACGACGTTTCAAGAAAAATAAACATAAGAGACATTTCTTATTTCCATTAATTTTACAAACAGCTTTTTTCCACGTGAAATTTACGTATGTAAAATAATTTTTACTTAGAAAATTTTTACTAGAGAAAAATTCTCATGGTTGGTTTTTTTTTCAAAGTTAAAAAAAGTAAGGGTAATTGTTGTTTGTTTTATTTAATTGGAAATTTTACAAAATATTTTCGTTTCTGTTGAAAATAATCTATTAAAATTGAAATAAGTTTGCTAGTTGCGCTCAATCGATTGAAATTAAATTTAAATTTATTTCAGTGGTTGAAAATGTTCTCTTAGTATAAATTTAGTCGAATGTTACTAATCGTGAAAATTTTTACTTGTTCTATTTCTTAAATTTCTACTCCTAAATTTAAATTAATTAATAATAACTACTTTGATTGTCAAAAATTACTCACTGTTATAAATAGTAATATTTTTACTAAAAATTAAAAGAAAAAATTAAATATAGAGTAGAAATATTAAATAATTTTATTAGTAAAATTTACTTAATAATTTCCAATGGCGAAATAACTAATAATTTTGTTAACTAAGTCAATTACTAATAATTAGTAATTTTACACAACTGATTGGTAATTTTCTACTTACAATTAGCAAATTTTCTACTAGTGATTAGCAATTTTCCCCTAGTGGTTGGTAATTATCGAATAGTAATTAGTAATTTTCTACTAATCATTGTTCTCCACTAATGATTAGTAATTTTCCACAAGTGGTTAGTAATTATCTAATAGTAATTAGTAATCTTATACTAACAATTAGTAATTTTCCACAAGTGATTAGTAATTTTCTACTAACCATTAGTAATTTTTCATTAGTAATTAGCAATTTTCCACAAGTAATTAGTAATTTTCTACTAACCATTAGTAATTGTCCACTAATAATTCGTAATTTTTTTCTAGTGATTAATAATTTTCCACTAGTGATTAGTAATATTTCAACGAACTATTTGTAATTTTGTACTAAATATTAGTAGCTTTCTGCTAATTGGAAATAATTTTCTACTAACGATTAGAAATTTTCCACTAGAGAAACATAATTCTTTTTTTACTAAATGTTAGTAATTTTCTAATCACTAGTAGAAAATTTCTAATCATTAGTAGAAAATTATATCTAGTCGAAAATTACTCTTATTTTCCACTAGTAATTAGTAATTTTCAAGTACCTATTAGTAATTTTCCACTAGTGATTAGTAATTTTTTACTAACAATTAATAATTTTCTGCTTGCGTTTAGTAATTTTCTATTCGTGAATCGTAATTTTTTACTAGTGATTAGTAATCTTCTATTAACGATTAATAATCTTCTAATAGTGATTAGTAATTTTCTACTAATGATTAATAATTTTCCCCTAATAAATCGTAATTTTTCTCTAGTGATTAATAATTTTCCACTAGTGATTAGTAACTTACAATTAACTATTTGTAATTTTGTACTAAATATTAGTAGCTTTCTACTAACTAAAAGTAATTTTCTACTAACGATTAGAAATTTTCCACTACTTTTCTTACTAAATATTGGTAATTTTCTAATCACTAGTTGGAAATTACTAATGACTAGTCATTAGTAATTTTTCTACTAACCATTAGTAATTTTTAACTATCTGTTAATAATTTTCCACTAGTGATTAGTAATTTTCGAATGCTGATTAGCAATTTTCTACTAACAATAAGTAATTTTCGTTAGTAGAAAATTACTCTTCTTTCCACTAGTCATAAGTAATTGTCAAGTATCTATTAGTAATTTTCTACGAAGAATCAATAATTTTCTGCTAACGTTTAGTAATTTTCATTCGTAAATCGTATTTTTTTCACTAGTGATTAGTAATTTTAGAATAGTAATTAAGAATTTTCTATTAACAATTAGTAATTTCCCAAAAATCAATCGTAATTTTTCACTAGTGATTAGTAATCTTCTATTAACGATTAATAATTTTCAACTAGTGATTAGTAATTAGCTACTAAATATTAGTAATTATATTCTAGTTATTCTTAATTTTCTACTATCAATTATAGTAATGTTCTACTAAATTTTAGGTCTTTTCTACTAACCATTAGTAATTTTCTACTAAATATTAGTAATTGTCGAAAAGTGATTAGTAATTTTCTACTGACCAATATTATTTTTCCACTAGTAGAAATTCTCTACTAAAAAATATTTGTAATTTTCTAATAACTAGTGAAAAATTACTAACCGTTAGTACAAAATTACTTATAAGTTGTCTAAAATTGCTCATATTTTTCACTAATCATTACTAATTTTCCAAAAGTTAATCGTATTTTTTTACTAGTGATTAGTAATCTTCTATTAACGATTAATAATTTTCAACTAGTGATTAGTAATTTTCTACTAAATATTAGTAATTATATTCTAGTTATTCTTAATTTTCTACTGTCGATTAGTAATTTTCTACTAAGTTTTAGGACTTTTCTACCAAATATTAGAAATTGTCGAATAGTGATTAGTAATTTTCTACTAACTAATACTATTCTTCCACTATTAGAAATTTTATACTAAAAATTGTAATTTTCTAATCACTAGTAAAAATTACTAACCGTTAGTACAAAATTACTTATAAGTTGTCTAAAATTGCTCATATTTTTCACTAATCATTAGTCATTTTTAACGATCTGTTAGTAATTTTCCACTAGTGATTAGTAATTTTCGAATATTGATTTGCAATTTTCTACTAACAATTATTAATTTTCGAATAACGATTAGTAATTTTTCACTAGTGATTAGTAATTTGCTACTTAATATTAGTAATTATTTACTAGTTATTCCTAATTTTCTACTAATCATTAGTAATGTTCTACTAAAAATTAGTAGTTTTCTACTGAAAATAAGTAAATTTCTACTAAATATTAGGAATTTTCTATTTGTGATTAGTAATTTTCTACTTACGATTCGTAATTTTTTACTACGGTCAGAAATTTTTTTCTGACCTTAGTCACATTTTTTCTTTCTACAGGAATGATTGTAGTCACTTTTTACTGATTGTCGAAGCAAAAAGTCAGTCAAGATTTCAAAAAATTTATATTTTATACCTTTTTTAAGTTATTTTTAACAATTTCAGTCAATCGTAATTATATACTAGTTATTCATAATTTTCTACTAATAATTATAAAGTTAGTAATTTTCTACTAAAAATTTGTCATTTTCTACTAAATATTAGGGATTTTCTATTTGTGATTAACAATTTTCTACTTCGATTCGTAATTTTTTACTATAAATTTTTCGTAATTTTTTTCTGACCTTAGTCACACTTTTTCTTTCTACAGTAAAGATTGTAGTCACTTTTTACAGATTGTCGAAGCAAAAAGTCAGTCAAGATTTTAAAAAATTTATGTTTGATAGTTATTTTTTAGTTATTTTTATTCTTTACCCATTTTAGCTCGCATTTTAGTCAATCGTAATGTTTAGAGATTATTTTAAATCACTGAGTGATTTTTTCCAATTTCTAGAGTGTATTTCATGAGATTTACTTTGATTGATTATTTGAAAAATAGGTGAATAATGAATGCGTGTATAATTTCTGCTTATATACTTAATTGTAAATTCAGTTGATGAAGCTCTAGTGCGGTTACAGTGATGAATTCAAATTTGATTGATCGTTGTCTTCTGTTTGTACACTTGTATATGTATGTATATAGATGGACAGATAGAATGGTGGATTGTATTTCTGTTTTCTAGTTTACACTGACATAAGCGATGGGACAATGTCCATTGACTTCCGGCTGCCGCGTGGACTTCAAGCACGGATGTGGGAGATGCGAATTGTTCAACTTCCGTTTGCACAACGTGCCCCAGCTGGATGCCTTCAATATTTTGAGAATATAAATGGAATACTGAAGACCCTCAATTATCTGCCAAATGGAAGATTTCTTGCCTCTCAAGATTATTTGATTTGCATTAAGCAGAAAATTGGTATGTGCAGCATTTCCTACGCACCATGTACATCCGATTCATTTCGAATTGGACCCCCGAGGTTTAGGCGGAACGAAACATCCGGAAACATGGATGTCGAGGGCTCTGGCACTGGACCAGAAACCACAATTCAACGTTGCAGTAATAGAATTCTCATTCCATGTGACTTTGAAGAATTTATTACGGTATTTGTTTGTTTAATTTTATATTTTCTTTACTACTTTCTATATTATTTTCTGTATTATTTTTTGTGTTAGAAATTTGCACAATTAATTTTTTTACTCTCTAAATTTGAATTAGTAAACATGTTTACTAATTTGAATTAGTGACTGACTTTTTGATTTTGAATTAGTAAAGTTTACTCATAAAAAGTTATTTCTACTAATTTTTTTTGTAAAATGTACTAATTCAAATGCAATGAAGTATTATTAATATAAATGCCTCTATTAATTTTTTATATTATTAAATTTGGGGCCAAAAGTTTTTTAAATTGCCGCCTAGATGGCATGAAAATTCTCTCACAAACGGAGTGAAGTGAAAAGAGTTTATAAGTTATGGTGATAAGTAATTGGTTCATTTTAGTTATAAAATTAATATTATTAATTACAATAATAAATAAATAGTTAATAATCTATACCAATAATCATTGAATTCCGGTAATCTGTTCACAGCACGGTAAATCGTTAGGTATTAAAGTAACACCAAAAAGGATTAAAATAATCCAATTTAGTGTTATTTTAATCCATTTTAGTGTTATTTTAACACCTAACGCTGGCTATCAAAAATTTATTTAAACAACTTTTAATTGTTACATTTTAAGGACCAATTATCTCCCTTCAATTTGTGACCAAGAAACAAAAAATTGGTCAAAAATTATTCAAGTTATGAATTTTTTTTGAACTTTTTTTCCAATTTTCGTTTTTCTGATACGGGCGGGTGGGGACGCTGTCTATCAAAAATTTATTTAAACAATTTTCAATTGTCACACTTAAGTTCTTAAAATAAAATTAATATAAATAATTGAAATTTAATAATTGAAATTAAACATTTATTTATAGAATTTTATTAAAATTTTAGAAAATAATTAAATTTTTTTGAAAAATTTTATAACAAACTAAGAAAAAAATTGAATTCTTTCGGGAAATTTTTTTTTTAAATAATTGAATTTTTGCGAAGAATTTAATTATTTATAAATATAATTGAACTGTTTTGAAAGATTTATTAAAATTTTAGGAAATAGGTAATCTAATTTTTTTTAAAAATATATTATTAAAAATAAAAAATAATTGAATTTTTGCAAAGAATTTTACTTTTTATAATTGTAATTGAATTGTTTTGAAGGAGTTATTAAAATTTTTTTGAGTAATTGAATTTTTTTGAAAAATATTATTAAAAATTTTTATAAAGTTGATATCTTTCATGAAATGTTATCAAAATTGTAGTAAAAATAATTGAATTTTAGCAAAGAATTTTATTATTTATAAAGAAAATTGAATTGTTTCGAAGGATTTATTAAAATTTCAGAAAATTAGTTCATGAAATCTTATTAAAATTTTGTTTAAAAATAATAGAATTTTTGCAAAAGAATGTACTATTTATAAATATAATTGAATTATTTCGATGAATATTATTATTTATAAAAATAATTGAATGCATGGGAAGATTTTTATTAAAATTTTTTAAATTAATGAACAAGAATAAATAATTAATAAATTAGTTAATAATTGAATTTTTAATTAATTAATGAATGAATTAATTAATTATTCTCATTAATAGATAAAGACAGAAAAAATAAAGTGGAGGAAAAAAAAATTATTTTTTTTAATTAATCGAGTTTTCAAGTGGAGATTTTTGTTCAAAAAAGAAACTAACAAAAAAGTTATATACTTAACTTTCTCTGAAAAAAAAACATTAAACTTTGTGAATAAAAAAAGTATTTTATCGTTAAAGAAAGCTTAAAAAATATTTTACATTTTTTTTTCTTTTTCGAAAAAAAAATTTCGCTCTTATATAATGTCATTATAAAGCTTCTGGAAAATTTTTTTAGAAGAGTTGAAAAGTGATATAAAAAATTCCCATCTCTCTCTCCTTTCATTAAAATGAAAAAAATAATTATAGCTTTACGCGAAGTAATTTGATGTGACAACAGTAAAAATATTTTACGTTATGCAATTTATGTCGCGATTGTGATTAAAGGAATAATTACAGTTAAGAGTTTTGTTCCGTTGTTAATTATTCCTAATGAGATTATTAAAGTAGCTTTAGGGTTGAAAGCTTATCCTCAATTGACAGTATGGGAATAAATCCTTATATTAAATCTTTTTCTCGAATCTTTTTTTTTATCTTAATTTTTGAATATAATAAAAAGGTGAAATTTTTTTAAAAATTTTCTTTTATTGAAATTTAATAACTATATTGTTTTTTTCTGAAATTTAATCTTGTTTTATGACCGAGGAATAAAAAAAGCGTTATTTAATATCAGCTATAGAACGTTATTGATATTTGTAGGTACAGATTATCTTGTCTGTTGGGCTAATGTAGATTAATTAGGGACAATAAATTTTCAAATAACTGTCAGTGTAATTTATCTTCGAAAATTTTTTATTCATTTAAAGATAAGAATTTTTAATGATAGTGGGATTTCTAGTTGAATTAATTAATCTATAAAACTGATTATAATCGAAAGTCTTTTAGGTAAAAGCGATTATTACTTTTCGACATTTTTTTCACCGCAGGCAGTTATTTAACTTGAATTTTGAAAATAGTTTACTTATATAAAAGAGGCTTATTTTTTGGAAAAATTTTGTAAAAATTTTGTAAAAATTTTGTAAAAGACGGTACAATTTAACTCAAATTATTAACTTAGTTTATTTAATAAAGAAATTAATTTTAAGGCGGACGAATATTTATTTTTTAATTTTTATTTATTTTATAGTCTTCGCCTAAGCAAGTAATATTAATTTTTTTACATCAATAATCTGAAATTCTTGTTTATAAACAAAATAAATAAGTAAATAAATAAATAGACGTTAAAATTACAGTGAAACCTCGCATAGCGTCGAGTGGGAGGGGCCGTGCGTCTCAGGTAGCGTCGACTCTGGGCCACGCCTCCCAGTCCATAACGTATAAGCTCACAGGTCCGTATCTACTCATTCGGGCCCCCGGGGTGCAATTTTCGATTAATTTCGCAATTTCTGAACAAAAATCATAATAATTAGATAGAAATTCTAATTTTCTATTCCTCCTAGCAAAATAAACTTGATTATCAAAATTTTTTCCAAAAGTTAAAAAAAAAATTTTTTTCATTTCAGCCTGGAAATAGTGGATCGGGATTCTGTGATCTTGAACATTGTGGCACATCATTATGTCGTCCGGGTGAATTCGATCAGGATGGAAATTGTCGAGTGGAAACTTCTGCTTCACCATTTCATATAAGAGTGGCATTTGGTCCTGGCGAAAATTCGGGAACATCGCTTGAGGACTATGTGGGAATGTGCCTGAATTACGAACAGTTGCCATGTGTTCCATGAGAAGAAAATTGATTACAAAACTAAAATCCAACCACGGTTTCGCAATCAAGAAGAAACTTCTCCATAAACTTTTCGTCCTTTTTCGCCTAAAAGACAAACTTTGAAATAAGAAGAAGAAAAACTTTCATCGTCTCCTTTTTTTCAGTATATTTCAGTCACCAATTTCTGTCTAATTTCATCAAAAAAAAAAGAGAGGAAAAAAAAGTTTCAAGGTGTTCTCTTTTAGAAAAGTCAAATATGTTTTTCTTCATAAAATCCTCTCTCTGAAGAAGAACCTTAATGTAAAATCAATTTATCAGAACTTTTTCAAATTTTTTGATTTCAATCTTGTGTTTTTTTTCGGAAAATCAGAAAATTTTTTATTCGATATAAGTTTGTAAATAAATGCCATAGATAGTAATTTTATTTTGTATAGAATATGAAATTGAAGTATTTATTAAATAAAAGTACAATAAAAAAATAAAATAAAAATTAATAAAAAAAATTGTAATTTAATTAAATTAAAATAAATTAAAATAAATTAAAATAAATTAAAATAAAATAAATTAAAATAAATTAAAATAAAATAAATTAAGATTATAATAAAGAAAGAAAGAAAAATTCCTTTCTCCCCTAATAATTCGAAGTGAAGAGGATAAGAAATAAATTCTTTCTTATTGCAGAGACTAATTTTATAATTTACTTTACAAACTTTTGTAGAAGGAAAAAAAAGAAGGAAAGTTGCAAAAAAGAGAAATATTATCTGTATACGGATGCTCATTAAATTTACCACCTGAAGTGGAATGAAATTTGTTGTTTAGTGAGAAGATGGTTTAATAGAGGGTAAAAAGGAGAACTGGTAATATACATATACTTATAATACTGTATATACAGTTTTCATCAAGAGAAATGAAATTATTTTGCACGCTTGGAACTGGAAAATGTTATTTATCACTACTACTGCTGGAAGAAATGGCTATTTCTGAGAACTGAGCTTTGTGCGAATATTGTTTTAGAAAGCACGTGCGAATCAAGTTGAAGTATAATAATATTTCCCCCAAGAAAATAACTTATGAAACTCCAAAAGTTATAAATGAAATTAACTTTTTTATTTCTTGTCCTTTTTGAATCTGTTTCTAAACAATTTTCTTCTTTTGATGTTTTTTTTCTTTTTTCAATACACAATTTCTTTCTGTCAATTGTCAATTTTTGAAATTCTAATTTTTATTACCAAACAAGCAAATGTTACAAATTTTAAGCAAATTACAAAATTTTTTATATTTAATTAAACATTTTTTAAATAATTTTATAATCAAAATTAAAAAAATTCACTTATTAACTACAAAATTGTTTATTACTGTTCATATTTTCAAAAATTTGAATGAAATTTCACTAAAGAATTCTATTATTTTATAAAATTTTAATAAATCCTTCTAAACAATCCAATTATTTTTCTAAATAATAAAATCTTTACAAAAATTCAATTTTTTTTAAAAAACAATTTTAATTGAATTCCTCGGAAGAATTCAATTTTTTTAAAAAATTTTAACACATTTCGAAAAATTTCAATTATTTCCTAAAATTTTAATAAATTATTCGAAACAATTCAACTATTTTTATAAATACTAAAATTCTTTGCAGGAATTAAATTATTATTATTAAATTCAATTTCAACAAGAATTTAAAATTATTAAAAAATAATTCAATTATTCTCAAAATATTTTTAAAAAATTCTATAATTAAAAATTAAATTACTTTCAATGCAATTTTTATATATATTCGTCAAAAAAATTGAAAGAATTCAATTATTATCAAAAAATAATTAAATTCTTTAAAGAAATTCAATTATTTTCGAAACAACTTTAATTGAATTTTGAGAAAAAATTTAACAAATTTTTAAATAATTGAATACTTTTGACGAATTTTAATAAAATTTTTTAGAATAGTTCTATTATTCCTGAAAATAATTAAATTGTTGAGAAGAAAGTTATAAAAAATTTGTAAATATTTGAATTCCTGTGAAATTTTTATTATTTTTTTGAAAATAATTAAATGTTTGCCTACAATTTTATTAAAATTGTTTTTAAATAATTAAATTCTCTTGTGTAATTTTATTAAAATAGTAGATATTGAAAATCATTGAAATTTTGACAAGAATTTTATTAAAATTATTGAAAATAATTGAATTTTGAAAATGAATTTATTTATAAAGGTAATAATTGGAATTTTGTAGAGATTTTTTTTCAAGGAATTCGACTAAAATTGTATTAAAAATAATTGAAATTCTGCGATGATTTTTATTATTTCTGAAAATAATTGAATTATTGAGAAGAAACAAAAAATTTGTAAATATGTGAATTCCTCTGAAATTTTTATTATTTATGAAAATAATTAAATGTTTGCGTACAATTTTATTAAAATTGTTTTCAATTAACTGAATTCTTTTGGGTAATCTTATGAAATTTGTAGATATTAAAAATCATTGAAATAAGGAAATTTTTTGAAAATAATTAAAATTTTGAGAAGAATTTTATTAAAAATTTTGAAAATATTTGAATTTTAAAAAAGAATTTTTTATTTATAAAGATAATAATTGGTATTTAGTCAAGATTTTTTGTAAATTTTGAACATAATTGAATGAACATAATTGAATTGATTATAATTGAATTTTGTAATAAGAATTTTACTATTTATAAATATAATTGAATTTCTGCAATTATTTGTAACTTTTTGAAAATTCAATTTTTTAGTGTTTTTAACTAAAATTCCTCTCTAAATTTATTATTTCAATAATTAATTAAATATATATTGACAAATTTAACTAATTTTAGAAGATTTTGAATTATTAATTAATTCGTGGTAATTTTATTACCACGAATTTATTATACAGTCAATGAAAAATTATTTTTGAATTAAACTTAATAATTTTTATTCAACACATAAGAAGTTTGATTCAATAAAAATTATACGTTTAATTGAATTATAAAATATGTTTAATTAAAAAAAATATTTTTTTTGGTTAGTTACTAATTTTTTGATTCAAAAATAATTTCTTCTCAGCGTGTCAATTTTAATAATTGGACAATTTATTTTTCCACTGAGCTTTTAGGGAAATAAAAGAAATTTTATTTTTCGATAAAAACATTTTATTGTTCGGAAAATTAAACTATTAAAAAACTAAACTATTCTGAAATGGTACACTTTATTTTCGAGAGGCTTTTTCTAAGAGGCTGCATTTATTTTATAGGGCTATTTTCCTTTTTATTGAGCAGCCGCGCGATAATCGTGGAAAATTTTTTAGTAGATTATTCCCACATTAAAGAGATTGTTAACTTGTAATTATTGTGTCACTTTCTAGGATTATCTTCTATAAAGGAGTATAATTAAATTTAGTGAATACTGTAAATGTTTCCTAACATTCAATTTTGTGTAGATTTGAATGTTCACTTCCTACTCTTTTGCTTTTTTATTTTTTCATTTATTTATTTTTTTATTTATTTATTAATTTATTTATTCATTTATTTATTCATTTATTAATTTATTTAATAATTAATTAATTAATTAATCAAATTATTAATAAATAAATAAATTAATTAATTATTAAATTAATTAATTAATTAATAAATAAATAAATATATAAATAAATAAATAAATTGAAAAAATTAAAAATTAATTAATTAATTAATTAATTAATTTATCCATTTATTTATTTATTCTTTTATTTATTCATTTTTTTTTTATTAAATTAGTATGTAAGTAATAATTTTGACTAAATACAAAGATTTTCGTCACTCGAAAGGTATTTGAAATCAGGATGAAAGTGTGGCTTTTCGAAAGATGGAGATTCAGCATCTGGTTTGTGATAAATCGAACAACTTTAGGTGCCCTCTGATAAATTGATATTTAATGCGACGTTGGCTGTTAAAAACGAGAGCAATTAAACTTTTTGAGAAACTACATATATACATTTATAATTTATTACAGAGTTGACGAGGGCAAATTTACATAAATTATTGGAAATTTTTGTTCGACAATTTTTTTTTCTTTATTTCAAATTAATATTCTCGACGATTTTAAAATAAAAAATAATATACTATTATAGTAATAAAAATAATACATAAAAATAAGTAATCTGATTAAAAACATTCTGAAAAATAAAAAAAAAGTAAAATAAGTAAAGTAAAAAATAAGTTTATGTATAAAAAAATTTAAATATTTATTTAAAAGTAAAATTAATTAAAGACAATTTAACACAATATATAGAATGTGAAATTGGACACATTTCGAAAAGTTTCTGTTCATGTTGAATTATGTAAAACCCGACCTGTTCAAATAAAACTTCTATTCTACTTTTATCTTTCGAAGAATCGTCTTTTAGTGGTAAATTTTCATGCTGAACTCGTCGACTAATTTTTTTTTTTTGCCTTTCGATAAGACTTTTCAAAATAGGGCAAAAATTCTTGAAATGAAAAAAGTTTGTTACTTCTTTTTTATTATATCTAAAAAAAGTAAATATAATTCGCACAAAGAAAAAAATGCTAATACTTCAAAACAAAAATGTAGAATTAATAACAGTAATGTCTGTATAATAAAAAAATTAAAAAATAATAAAAAGTAATAATAAAAATTACAAAAAAGAAAAAAAAATTGAAAATTTAAATAATTTTTAAGTAAAAAAAAAGTAAAAAAAAAAATTTTAACTTAATTTAAATAAAAAATTTTTGTATTGTTGAAAAGTAAAAAAAAGTAAAGTAAAGTAAAGTAAAGTAAAGTAAAGTAAAGTAAAGTAAAGAATTAGAAATAAATATTTCTTTAAAACTAATAAAATTTTCTATTTTATTGTAAATAATAATAGTTACTAGACTCGAAATAAATAAATAAATAAATAAATAAATAAATAAATAAACAGTAAAAGTAATAATAAATAATAAAATAGTAAAAATTAATGATAAATAATATTTAATGTATTTAATTTAAATAAATAACATTCGCACGTTAAGTGTGTGTATAAGAAAAAATAATAACGAAATTCATGAGAATTTAGAGTTGTAAAAAAAAGATGCACTCCTTTTAAATTGAAATGGTGACAGTTAACGATTTCTTGAAATGAACTCGGGCACAAAAAGAAGTTGGGGAACAATAAAAGAGTTGTAACTGTCTGCAATGTCAGCACTGTAAAAATACTCGTATAAATGTCAGGTGAGTAGTAATCAAATCACTTTGTCACGCGATTTCATTCAGACTTTAAAGCACTTCAGTAAACATTGATTATTTGTCAAAAGTTGTTCTCCAAATCGCTTTCAATTATTTACAATAAGTGAATGCGAACATTCGATGTTCGTATAGTAATTTTTTTTAGTATTGCTTCTTTTTATTTTTCTTGCAAAAGAATAGTGTTAAAATTACA